TTTTTAATTCGTTATGCACTTCAATCATAGTAGCTAATAGATCTCTTTGTGAAAGAGTTCGTCCAGGTACCTCCTGCCGCCTTACCTATTTCCGCAGCCAAGCAGTAATGTGAGCATTACTGTGTTTCGATTTACAAGGGTAAGGGGTAACAAAGGTATTAGTCAAATTACAGGCACATGGAACTTGTCAACTTACGTCTCAAGGTGACGGGCGCAGTGGCATAGACCCTAAGATCTTTGCAATTTAACGCTCTGAGTGGCACTGCAACTGCTATGGCTAGGTGTCGCTTATTATCAGGCGTACGACTTGTTCGTTCCGTCATTTGGTATTACAAAAAAAATCCTCTCCTTAGGAGACCAGTACGCTGAGTACTAGTGTACTGCTGTACGCTGAGGGAGACGAATATAAGCTGACGCGGATTATATATTTTTTAAATACCTAATAATACCGCAATAATGATTATCTTACTGAACCTGACCTGTTCAAGTTTGTCCTCGTTTTCTGTTTGGTGAGTCATTGTCGCAAATTCCTCGCTTTTTTATATTATTTTTCTATGTTCTTTTATATGACTTGTCAGTGTGTGTTGTGTGTTGTGCTTCATTGTTATTAATTTTACAAGTGTTTTTGATAATATCTATCTTTTTTGATACAGGGTGATGTAGACCATAGGTTTAACAAACTTTTTGGCTCACCGTCCATTTGGGCAAGATAAAAAAATTTCAATGCCCACAATTACAAAACATAATTGAAAACACGTATTTTTTATTTCAACTTATCACAAATAAAATCACCAGAAAATAGTAGTGAAAGTAGTTTATAGGTATAGATAATGCAGGTTTTTATTTTCAATTTCAGTAGCACCACCTGGACAGTATCAACGTCCCCCAATTGCTTCCGAGGCCTCTACCTAGGACTCTTCAGCGCCCACTGCGGTAGGGACCACTTTGGGAAACTATGATATAGACGATATGGACTGTATAGAAAAATACATAAATGAGCAAAAGTACAGAGAGGGAGTGAAAAAAAGAACCGAAATGAGTACAATTACTTGACAAAACAATAACAAAAATAGACGAGACAAAAAGCATGCATACCTATACCTATAAAAAAGCTAGAAGTACGCGACGCGCATCTTACCCTTAACTAGCTAAATCATCACTCGATTACAGAGATTTGGTAGCAGTAATGAATTAGTGTTTCAGTAAATACTGATAAGGCTATCCTACATCCACCTCACCACACACATTGTCAGCCTTTTTATCTTTGAAATATGATTGATTATCACATAGGTACTAATTATAAAATCTTATTTCCTCTAATATTATTATTAGCTAGACGCTTTATTTTACTTGGCGTTTGGATCCTTACTTATTTCTGCCGCCAAGCGTTACAGTGAGCATTAATGTGTTCCGGTTTTGAAGAGTAAGGGTGCTGGTGATATCATAATCATAATCATATAATTTATTGCTTTATGTGGTACAAAAGGTTATTGGATAAAAAAAGGATTATTCAAATTTAATAGTTACTGTTTTCTGTTTACGGATTTATACCTAAAACAGAATTCTGTGAGTTTTATGTTTGTTAAAGTAAAAATCCTACTGACATCTAATATAAGGATACCTAAGTCATTCGTGGAATGACTTCAGAATGGGGGAAAGGGTTGAATGAAAATTATTATGTTTACCTAAAGCTCAAAGTTTGCATTCATATTTATAGAATCCAGATACTTTCATCTCCAAAGTTACTTAACTCCTTCTCGGGGGATCTGCCTTATTATAGTAGAATCTTATCAATTGAACTATTTCAATTATAATTTTATTACTTCTGAACATTGTAATGTCTGGGCCGAGTGTAGGTTGTCTCCTGTGTACATGGCGTTTTTCAATACATTTATGAAAAAAAAGAATGTATATTTTTATATTTTTACAATTTTTAATTTTCATATTACATAATTTGTCTTAACATTTCGGCATTATTCCAATGTGATCCCTTACAACTGATCCGTCGCCAATTTTAAATCTAAACTGATCCCCACTGTATTTTGCAACGGATCTCCTCATTGCATTTGTAAGGTACGTACAGTCAAAAGAAAAAGAAGTTTTAAAATCAAATATTCATTTATTGAGCAATATAATTTCAAATTAATTTCTGTTTGTGACAGGTCATTAATATTGACGTATTGATATAATATAAATACATTTTTTTGTTGACTGTACCTACCAAGAATAAGCTTGTGACAACCAGGGTATCAAGTGGGTGTAAAATATTAATACCTATTCTTGATGCATAGAGGATTCGAAGGGAATAGAAAATAATATAAAATTAAACGGATTCACCAGGGAATCGGTTTTAGGGGATCAGATGGGAATAACATGGCAAAAGACGCATAGTGGCGCTTCACTATAAAAGTTAATTCCATAACACCTATTCAACTTAAAACACTAGAAATCTATATGACTAAAAATGAACTCAAGTTTGTTATACCTACCTACTTAATGTACCTATACCAATTTCAGAGTCTCTTTGGTTTTCTTAAAAGTTAATTGTTGAAGTATCTATACTCTAAATATGTAATACATTTCTTGCTATTATACGTATTTAAAGACAAAAATACTTCTTACTCCATCGCTATGGACAGTACAGAACTTTTCGAGAAAATTATTACAAGGTAACAAAATGATTACTTCAAAAACAAAACTCTTCAACATAAAAATAAAATCTACGTACAACAATAGCTATTTCTAAAACAAAGCCCCAATCGACATCTACTTACCCTCAAACTTAAAACAATGTTTAAACAAAACATTCTCGAGAAAGAAACGAGTGTCCGTTGCTACAATATTGATTCTGTTTTCAGCAATAATCATTGAAAAACACCCTGAGCAAAGAGAACTTTATTTTACAACGTTAATAATACCTCCAGCAAAATATCTACAACTCCATAATACGTAAGACAGAAGAACGAAAATTCGATTACTTATGGCATATTGAAGGGATGGTATTTTAAGACGAAACCTATTCAAGTGGCTTTCGGCAGTTGCAAAGTTGTTGAAGCATCGCGATCGCTTTTGTTTCGATACTTTCAACCCTTTGTATTGTGATGAGTGTCTTGAGAAATGAAAAAGTATGTCACACATTGCATTACCTATATGTAATGGTTACTAGCAGTTTTAATCGTATCTTCAAACTTTATCGTGATGTAACAGGACCGAAATTTGAGTGCTATGTGATAAGAGAAAGAGGTAATTTTCGTTATTAATTTGTTGAATTAGTTATTTATTAGACGGCTACAACGAAGGATCAGATCGTCTGAAACTTTATAGACTGTAGTTGCTTCTCTAACTACATTCAAGTAAATGAAATACTTTGGAGTAATTACTTTGTAATGTTTATTATTAATTACGCATTAGAAGTATACACGCGTACCTATAATTGAGTATTATTATTCACTTTAAAATGGGGACTTTAAACTTTAACTTGATGAGTAAATTATGGCTATTAATATTCTTAGTTTTACTAAAAAATTAATTTGACGTTAAATGTCTTAACAATGTTTCTATGAAAAGATAGAATTTTTGCCATTATATCTGAACTTCGTAAAATTGGAAAGAAGAGAGGCACTATCTTTGATTTATAAACCGCACATGAAACCAAAAACTGTCACTACTCAAAAATATGGAATTAAGAAAACACTTATATAGGTATTGTTATTTATACGTAATATTTTGCAATCCGTTTATAAAAGAGAACATATAGATATTTATTGATTTCAGTCAGCAATTTTTACCACTTACAAATCTTGTTTTTACAATTCCACAATTTTGAATTACGACAGTAGGTATTAATTGGTTTCATGTGCGAAATATAGGTACATTGCCAAACTGAAAATTTTTAACATTTATTTCGCTCTTCATCTAACTTGATTCATTGATAGGTGCCTACTATTGACCTTTTAACCGAAAGTAACCTTGAATAGATTGCTATTTATCAATTAGGCCACCTATAGTACCTACGTTTTTTAATATTTTAGTAATCCGATGAAATGAAATAAATTATATTTTGGCGCTTGGCAATAATGGATACGTAAGTATTAGGTAAATGATCCATCTAATATTAGTTTGTCACGCCGCCCTTGTAAGGTTTTACTAAACGACAGTGCGCTGAAAGCTGTCAGCGGCAAACGATGGTGAGCACCTATAACCGCGCTCGTGTCCGCTTCCGCTCCCGCCCTCACCGTTCCGCTAGCTGAAATGCGATTCTCATTCACAATTACTGTTTATAAGTGTAACTAATTACCTACAAATGCCCCCAAATTAAGCTACTTTTCCAGTAAAGGGGAAAAATACGACGCTCTAAGAATAATTAACTAGATTTGTACGTTTTGCATTTAAGTAATTGAGTTTGGTTTTCAATAGCCAGGAATAGAATTCGGAGAAAATGTATGCCGGGTATAGACACGCAATGTTTCCGCGGCGGCATCCCGGCTCATATTGATTGCCGGTGACATTCTTATCAATACACCCCCGGCGCGCGACCGCACCACACAACACCCAAAAGAAACAGGAACGTTTCTTCGCACGCTCGCAACGCAACGGAAAAAAGGGCGGAGACTCCGTGGCGACGTCGTTATCCAATCGAATTAAACTTGCAGCAGCGGCCGGCCAATGAGACGGCGCGGCCTGGGCGGGCGCGCGCACGCGGCCGCGCCCTCGTTTCACTCCGGCTTTTTATTTATTGTTGCGCGGAACAGCGCGCGCGACGGGCGTGTGATGCGCGCGTAGCTTAATCTTTCGAACATGGAGTCCGCCGTGGACTCAGCGTCGACCGCGAGCGAAGTGAGCGGCTCCTCTGGGGGCTCACCGAGGGTGAAAACGGCGTCGCCAGCGCGCGCGCTTAGCCCGCCGCAGCTGCTGGCGCCACGACTGCCGCTGCCGCCGCCTGGCCTTGGCCTGCTGGGGTCGCTGCAGATGATGCACCACTCACCCCTTGAGCTAATGGCGGCGGCCCATCACCATGGCCCACCGCGCTACAGCAGCCCGCCACCCATCTCGACATCCGACCCTTCAGCGAACGAGTGCAAGTTGGTCGACTATCGCGGACAGAAGGTGGCGGCGTTCATCATCCAAGGCGACACGATGCTATGCTTACCGCAGGCGTTCGAACTGTTTCTTAAGCACTTAGTCGGTGGACTGCACACAGTGTATACGAAGCTAAAAAGACTGGACATAGTGCCGCTGGTGTGCAATGTGGAACAGGTGCGCATTCTGCGCGGGCTCGGCGCCATCCAGCCTGGCGTCAACCGCTGCAAGTTGCTCTCCTGCAAGGACTTCGACGTGCTGTACCGGGACTGCACCACGGCAAGGTACGTTTGTTCAGTGTGTTAATCAGCCACCCGTCAAATGCGTCCCACTGCTGTTCTACATTGATGTAATTACTTTATAATTTAAACTCTTGTAATAAGTAGTGGCAAGTTGCGGGTCTACAACTTGAATCCAGTCAACGGTAACGACGGCGTTGGTTTACTGTAAAGTTTAGTTGTTATTTTTGTTATTTGATTATCTCCTTGTTGATTATTATTATTATTTTGCTTGTTTTTGTTTGTGAAACTAGAAAAACTAAAATGTACGTATGCAAAGAAAATACCTAAGTCAATAAACTTCACTACAGTTAATTCGTTAAATACCTACCTGAAAAAATTAAAATGTATAATGTATACCAAAACAACATATTTATATAAAAATTGCACGTTCAATTATGTGTCTAATTTCATAAGTGACGTGTAGAGTCGTATACAAGTCGTCTTATCGATGTTCCTTGAAAATAATGTATGGTTGAAAGAAAAGAAAGTTTTTCACGAGCAGAATAATAAAATGGGCCAGGAAATAGTGGTAGGTAGCTGCTGGTGAGCAGTATATGGCAAGCGGATGCAATTTACGGGCAGGCGCCCTACGCGCAAACGCCCAAACGCCGCATTAATTTTTCACATTTTAATACGCGCCAAATATTTCCACTGGGTTAAATATTAAAGCGAGCTTCGGCGACGGAAGGGTTAAATCTCTGTTAATTAGCGGCTGGGGCTTAAATTTTTAAATAGTAATTTTTACAAACGCTAAAGTTAGATTAAAAAATCTTGTTTTGTTGTGGGAGCGCACACCGCTCGTTCGAGTAGGCCTATATAGAGTTGTATTGCTGGAAGTTGTTGAACGCGATTTAAAAAATGTAATGTCGGTTAAAAATATACGTTTGGGAGGCGTAAAGTTTAATTTCTGGCTCGTATTGACGCTTTGTGTCTGTAATATTTAAGATGTTTGTTTATCGGTGAGCAAAAATACTTGTCACGATTAGGCCGCTCAGTCCTTTGACACCTCATGCTTCTGTGACTCAAGTTGTTTGAGTTTGATGAAATAATTTTGTTATTTATTTACCTGGTATCGTCATCACGCTCTAGTAAGACAATTTTATGGAAATATGAATCAACGTTTTAGTAGGCGTATACATTTTTAAAAAGAAAAGTCTCTTATAATCTGAGATGCCTATACAAAAGTGGTTAATAGACAATGTAAGTAATTTAGAATTATTCCAAACAAACCAAAGTTTTTAACCTTGAAAACTTTAACAATTTCCGATGTAAGCAGTTCTTATGAATTAACTGGAGACGGTATAAAAAAGGACTGACGAGGCCCGTCGGGCGATGAATCAAAGTAATCTGTATTGACACGTTTCCACCATTACGACTCCGCCGAATCCTCCAAACCTTGTTGCTTTTGTACAAATATCATGTTTTATCCGTTCCTTTTTTGTTCCTGACATGGTTTATCAATATTTGAAGAGTGGTAAAGTTTTTAAAGATGTTTAATAATCTTGTGACGGGTTGCAGAGGAAATGCATTCTGTTGTCATAATTAGGTATTTTAGGTTTTTTTTTTATATAGAAACAGAATTTAGGGCTACTTATGGTAGTTTACTAAACTGTAGGTATAAGAAACATTGACGGGGCCATGACCCACCGGTTTAAACAACATAGCATACTAAACCAAAGTAGATGTGCTATAAAACAAATGACAATAACAAATATTAGAATATAGAAACGATCTGAACAACTTGTTTAGGTACTGTAGAAACTTGGATATACATAGTAAAATAAATATATCCATAATTTGTGATGAAATAGATAAAATAGCCATGTTAAAACAAATGACAAGAATTGGTAAGCTGCGTAATCTAAATTACCTGCCAAGGTATGTTATTCCTCCATACAATAACAACCATGGAAAGCGTGACTGGAGACACATGTTACCTTTACTGCTTAATAAATTGCCAAGAGACGTTCTCATTTTTGACATTGATTCGATTGATTTTGAAATTGTTTTACATTTTTATGTAAAACAATTTCAATACATTTGTAAAATTGTGAAATTTAATAGTTTTAAGTAGCGAATTTGCGCATAAGTATTACATATTAATTCTTTTGTTAGACATCTGATGCATGTGACGGCTGCGATACATAAATCTTTTAATGGTTTTTATTCGCTGTTTTTAAATAGAAACAATTTTTTGTAAACTTTTTGCTTGTAATTAAATGAAACAAAAAAGAAAAAAAAGACAAGAAATACCTACTACGTTAAAATGGCACTTAATAAAAATTATGTTTTATTTAAAATCTGTCTCGCAAGCTGTTACTAAAAGAGCCTTTAATGCAAATGAATAATATTAAAGATATTAATAAGGGATGTCGCTTTTGGTAGCACTAGGAAATGCGATATTTTTCAATAACGGGTCGCCCGCATAACAAAATGCCTTGTAAATAATAGGAGGACGTTCCTTTTCACGCTTCAATAATTGCTCGCTGGCAGATAAATGCGGATCGGGTTACGGTCGAGAACGGAATAACGTATGGGGTGGCATCACTCCCTTAACTCTTTTATTAATACAAGTTCTTTAATACTGCCTGCATCATTAGTCTTCAATTGTTTTGAATTGAAGTATAGCAGTACTTTTAAAGTTTGAAGCCGAATCACATAATAATTACAGAAGATCATTCCGGCCGTGACGCTTGGGTTACATTTAAAAAAAATTTATAATAAAGTAACGTAATTTAAAAAATTAGATCTGAAATAATAGTTTCATTTCATAACAATCGCGAAAAACTGAGCATTCGATTTGATAGATGTTTTAAAATTCATAATAAACTTTGCAGTACGAAAATATGAAGATTTGGCGGTTAAAGGCGAAGTCATTTTTCAAATATGGTCCAAGGTAAAAAAAACAACAATAGGTAAATTAATTAGGAGATATCAGATTTTCAATTACAAAGTCTTCTATTGAATTTAAACTTTTTTCTAATCAGTGGCAGCAAAGGGTTCCGTCCATTGTCTCTGCTACAAAGAGAGGAGTTCAATTACGGAGGTCATTAACACGACTTTTTATGGAATTTGAAGCTTTATGGCTCATTCTGATGGTCCGCCTTCAAACGGAGTGATATTTTGTAAATAAACAAGCACTGAAATAACTGGCCCATTACCTTTGTAGAGCCGGTAGGTGCGACGGAACTTCCGAACCATTTTCATGCTCAGCTTACAAACGATGATGATGTTTGACGGATGATTTTGAAAGTAACTTTGCCAGGGTATCCTGCTACAATGTTTAAGGAACGACATCTGGGTTATTTTTCTTTTAAGGTTTTGTTGGATGAAAGACAACAAATGAAGAACATTATAATAGCAGTAGAGTTCTTTGTGAAAGAGTTCGTTCAGGGAAGTACTGCCCCATCTTATCTATTTCTGCCGCCAAGCAATAATGTGAGCATTACTGTGTTTCGGTTGTGAAGGGTAAGGGTGCTGGTGAAATTACAGGTACTTGTCAACTTATCAGATCTTTGCAATTTAAAGCTCTGAGTGGCACTGCAACTGCTAAGGATAGGCGTGTCGCTTAACACCAGGCTCACGACTTGTTCTTCCTGTCAGTTAGTATAATAAAAAAGCTTAGACTATGGAAACAAAAGGACATGTTATATAAATCAGACGTTATATGTATATGACGCACGGGAATCGAAAATACGTAACGTCATCTTTAATGCCAACTCTTCTCATTTTGCTATTTTTGTAGTACCCTTTGATAACCGTTTCCGGTTGTCAAAGGTAGTACATCAAATGTCAAAACCAATGTTTGGCCAAATGTTTAGGTGAATTATTGGCATGAATTGTAATGAAATGGACAAAAATATTGACAGTGCGAACAATTAAGTATTGATAAAAATGCGTCGCTGCAGCGTTAAGGGGTGCGGCAGTAGAAAATCGGAAATCAACCGAATGTTACATTAATCTGTAATTTTTCAACCTATAAATCATAGTCTATAATCATACATACATAATAGCCCAAATATCTTATGTAATTAGACTCATTTAAGTAGTTTATTTATAAATCTTGCCGAATTTTGCTTTGGTTACTTTAGATTGCATATTTGCCTGTAGTATATTTTGATGATTGTTGATAACGATTATTTTGAGATACTGTTGTTCTAGAAAACAGACATATTATCGATGTTCTGTTATGAAAACAATTCACTACGAGGTTTTTATTATTTCTGTATTATTACTTTTAAAATTTACCTACATATGAAAAAAGAAAGAAAGTATGGTTGGAAATTATAGGACTGCCGAACATAAACATTGGGTCAAATACCACCTTCGTTTGTTCGCTCCATTTTGAAGTCAAATTTTAATAGAACTTTGAATGTAACTAGATTACAAGATAGTGCAATTCCATCGTTACATTTATTGGTATATAACTTTATATTTAATTTTGATTAAAATGGCTCATTACTTGCCTAGTAATAATAACCTAGTATTAATCATACCTTGATTACAGCAAACTATACAAATTTGCAAACATAGAAAACAGTTTCAACATTCAAGCCATACATTTTTGGTTTAGGTAGGTACGTTTATTCCATAGATAGGGCAGATTCTTTCCTTTATTTTTTCCATCCTCTAAGTAAAAAAGTAATACGAAGCAAAAAGATCCAACTAACTTCTGAAATAATATTTAGTATCTAAATACCCATGTAAAAATGTTACTGAGTTTATTTTTGTAATTGTAAATATTTAGGTTTATTTTTAAGCATATTTTTTAAGATGGATCATTTTCAGTTTACTTTTCTTTACCTAATTTCGATGGAATCTCTTATTTTTTAATTATTTTGTATATTATCGTGAAATATGCAATAATATTTGAGAATACTACACACGAATATTAATTAATACTTCATCACAATATTCTGGAACATTTAAATATAAAAATTGCCACCGAAATTACAAGTAGAGAAAACTAACCTGAAAATTACCCTGCAAGACAAAAGCATTCG